TGTGGAGAAGAATTTAGACTGTATTCCATCCTCAGATCTAAGTAGTAAAGTCAGACTTTCATTAGGCATTAAACCTTTTTAAAAGGCAGAGGCTTATTCACTGCCAGATGCTTAGCTAAATATGGGTTTTGCATTTCACAGCTTATACCTTTTGGGGTAGCACACCCCAGCAAATGCAAGAGGTAGTTTAATGAGTCACAGCTGGGGGGGAGACTACAGGCTGCTACATAAAAACTGATCCTAATACTGTATTCCCCAAGGTGCTGGTCAAGTGTAGCTGAAGGCTGCACAAGGTTAGAAGGCTGAAACTAGGCAATCAAGAATATGGCTTTATAAAAACACAAAATTTCCAGCACTTTGGTTATCATCCCCCCACCCCTGCTGCCACTCTCACACTTTAAAGACACAACTCTCACACTTTAAAGACACAAACATGCACGTATGTATTCGCTTACATGAGCATGTTCCCACACTTACCATACATGTTTTCATTCTCATCCATGTACCATGTGTCCTGCTACCACCTGGCACACCATCCAAAATCAGATTTGTAGAGTCTCCCAATACTTTTACTACTAAAATTCCATAGATCATTAACCAGAAGGCACAGTGAAAGAACAACGTTTAATGTCCCTATTTTGTTTACGTCTTACTTGGCCTACAGTTTTAATTTTTTTTAAGACATAATTAAACAAATATGTACTGCTGTATTTTTACTGAACACCAAAAGCAAATGAAACTAAACCACCACGCTTTCTTGTGGGATCATCCTGATGTGGTTTTTCTAAGCTAGAGAAAATCAAGTAATTTGAAACAGCTCAATTTCCTGGGATAAGGAAAGTGCTGGTGCAGTTACAATCACCATAATCAAATTTTGGGGGCTAAGTTTGGTGGGCAACCTCAAAGAAACACACCCATACTATCCCTGGTCATTTAAGCAACTCCATTATTCTTTTATTTCAAAAGTGCTGCAGTGATTTCTTTCTTTCGTTTGTTTTTGCAAGATCCAAAGTACTTTATTGCAGATCTTGGACAACAAAGAGAATTCTCTCAGAATGGCTCATTACTGGTGGGTTTTTTTTTATTTTTTGCAAGTCTTTATTTTTTTTAATTTCACACTGATTTACCTACAAAGTTCATATACATTGCTCCTCACATCAGATCCCCCCATCAAATTGTGCAATCCCATGATTACACCCCTGTGCATCCTCAGTAGGTATTGTTCAGTACGGTGTTCGTAGGAGTAAAGAAAATAAATTTGTAAGGATTTATATTACATGAATATGTCTTTATGACAAGAAAGTGTCAAAATAACCTGTAGCTTCTTTATTAAGATTAATGTCTCCAAATGTAAAAGACATTCTCTAGGCTGGTCAAATATCTACTTCCTAAATGGTATAATTTTTACAAGTATTCTTCTTTAGAGTTCTGGTGGCCTAGTGGCAAGAAGCTGCACTGCAATCCCAGAAGTATGTGGTTCGAATTCCACCAGATTCTCTGCTGGAAAAGGAGGGGCAATCTCCTCCTGTACCAGTCAGATCTGATTTGATGGTACACACACACACACACACACACACACAAAATGATAAAATATTCTTCTTTAGAAGTAGGAAGTTATGTAGTATTGGAGGCTCAAATGAAAATAGATAATGCAGTAGGAGGAAAAATAGAAAAATAAGAGTAAAGCCTCTGCTATCCCAATGAAAAATAGTGGAAGCAATTTCTTTTTTTTTTAGCAATTTCTAAGCAAATGAAAAAAATGATATATAGTTCTTGAGGCTGAACATTAAACGTGCTGAAGTGAGGAAGAGTTAAACTTTAAATCTTAATAATCAATGTACTGGGGGGAGGGGTTTGTGCGGGGAGAAGGGTGCAACAATGAAGGAATGGAATTCCAAAATCTCTGTAGATGTTCATTGAAATGAAAAATAAACAAACTAAATTAATAAAAAAATAATCAATGTATTGCTAGTAAAGAGAGTTTCAAAGAGTTATGAATTGTTTGAACAAAACCTATGATTAAGGTAATTATAAAGATTTTTCTCCATACATGCTGATTTTTGCTGAATTTCTAAGATGGTAATCAAAGCTATTATTGTTAATAGATGGGGGGAATCATATAATGATTTCCATATTTTGTCACAATTGGACAGAGACAAAGTAGTCCTCTCTATCCTCCCTACTAAAATAGAAAACAATTGTCCTTGACAGGAAAATAAGCTATAGAGGCTATTTTTAAAATAAAGTTTCCCTTAATGAAAAAGAAAATAAAATTCTCTAACACCTTTGACAGTTGCCTGAGGGTTCTGGAACTAAAAAAAAAATCTAAAAATTACAAATATTTGAATGAAAGGAAATTAAAAAAGATTCAGCTGAGCCTTCAAATGCTTTTCTGCAAAGCAGACTAAAGACAAGCTTTTTTTTCTTTTTTACATTTTCAAAAATAAAACTTTACACAATAAAAAAAAAAGTTGTTTATCTTTGGCTTACTTTGATACCCACTCAAAATTCCTGTTACCAGAAGTAATATGAGTTGGAGTAACAGAAGACAGGTTTTGATTGTTTTGATTCTTGGGAAAAGTACAGTTGATAGAACATAAATTTTAACAAGTATTACTAGTTAGAATGTTCATAGAACACATTTTTCTTCTTTTTTCCTTTTTAAAATAATTTTAATGAGCATTTACAGAGATTTTAGATTTCCATTCATTCATTGCTGCACTTCTCTCCCCGCCCAGCCCCCCCCCCCACCCCAGTTCGCTCCTCTCTTTGAAAAGTAAAAGAAACACTCCTTCCCTGGTACACAATCCCCCCCACACCCTTCCCACCACCCCAAGTACATTCCACAAAGACAAGCTTTTATTATGCTGAAAAAGAAATTTTATGTGTTACCTTATAATGGCTCAAACTCTTAATAATAAATTCCACTATGAAACATATCCTAACAATGAACCTTTGGGAACGATAGCTAATGACAACAAAATTCCAGTATATCAAAACATCATGTTTAGTTCCTTGGGATTCAATTAATGAAGCATTTGTTGTGAAGCCAATGTGCATACCACACCAAGCTAGATAATGTGGGAGAGATGAAAAAAAGGAGGATTTGCAGAATTAGCAGAAATTAGTTGTTAGAAATCTTTTTTTTAAAACAGCATATATCATACTTAAGAATTTGCATAGCTTAGGAGCATATGCCTAAGTAGACATATAGGTGAAATTTAAGTAGATATACAGTCCAATATACTGCATTTAACAAGCTCTGATAGTGTAGTCTGTAGGGAGTTGCACTGCTAAGGTGGTGCCTCTCTGGGGGTTCAAATCAACCAGCCACTCTGTAGGAAAATGATGAGCAATTTCCTCCCTTATAATTTCTGAAAACCTGCTGGAGGTTCAGCTATGAATTGATGGCAATGGTTTCTTAAAAATATTGCCTCTAGGTAGGTGCTTGCCTCACCTAAACCCTCCAACTGCGTGCTTTCAAATAAGAAAGTAATTCTACAATGACTCTTTTGGCAGATAAAGCTATAATTGCTCCATCTCTTACTGAGACTTAATCCTCTTTGTCTCTATGGCAGTAATGGTCAATGCTCTTTATTACCATTAAGGTCTTGATGAATAATTAAGCTCTTTTATTGATAAATGTATTCCAATCCCACTAGGTAAATAATGGCTGAATTAGTTTTACAAAAAAACCCCTGCTGAAGTATACATTACATTAAAAAAAAACAACAACCCAAACCCTGTTGCAATGCACAACGCAAAGGAATGATTTTATGCTAACAGTAAAAGTATGTAAAAAGAAAAAAAAAACAACCCCCTCAAATTATATAGAGTTATCAACCTAACTCTGTTTTGCAATTTGGCAAAAACAAATCCAAAAAAACCCATTGCACACAAATATTTCTATAATGCTGTGCATGACAGCAAAACCAGTATCCAGCAATAGGTATGAGAGCTCATTAGACACTGCAGATTAAACAATAAGGTATAATGTCAATCCCAAAATCTATTCACAAAGAAACAAATTAAGCTGCCACCAATAATGAAAGGTGAATCTAAATAAGAAAACATTCAAAGGAAATATATTTGTAAAACAATTATAAAACCATGTCTAGAGAGCAAGAGACTGATTTAAAAATACTCTGTTAACAAATAACTCACCTGCTGTCATTTTTATTCCAATTTTAGACTATGTAGTATTTTTTTTAACAGTAGACTAATATCTAAAGCAAGTTAATGAATGGCTTGCTTGCACACACATACACAATTATGTTCAATTCACATATTTACATAAGAAATTATGGTCTATATCCATGCTCTTTAATCAAAGACATACCTCTACTTCTGTAAGCATATTTTTATTCATAACTCATGATATTATATACATGAAATGTGTTCTTAGCCTGTTCTTACTATGCTTTCAATATTTCATTGACTTATTAAAGCTCCAAGATCTGGAATGTAAATACGATACATAAATAAGACATGTTAAGAGTTATACAATGTTATTGGATAAATAACATTGTGATGTCTTATATTGGTGTAAAAATTTAATGTTATGAAGTAGAAAAATCTCCATTAACAAAGATTTTTAAATAAAGAAATAAAATTATATTAATTAAGGAAGGGCAAAGCATCATCTAATAATAGTTCTTAGCCTTTTTATTCTGAGGGAAAGGTCATACCTTATTTTGGAATTATTGAAATCTTCTCACTCTTTCCTCAGAATAAAACAAAATACAACAATACTATAGAATTTGTTATATACATTTCAGGACACAAAGCATATCCTAGTTAAGGAGTGATATTCTGGGTTAAAAATTGTATTTCAAATAATTAAAGAATATAGTTTGCAGTTAAGCTTCCTAAACTTCATTCTATCTATTTTGCCCTAAAGTTGTGACTGACTAGGTATTCATGCAATTTTATTAAAATAACTTTTATTGAGAACCAATAAAAACAGCATTATTATAATTACACTACAAAAAAATACATACCAACTTTTGCAAAGGCCTCTTTGAGTTCATCAAGCTCATCTTTTGAAATCTGTGTGGTCGCCATCTCATCCATTAAATGAGATCTGTAGAGAAACCAAGAGTTTCAGGATTTTTTTTTAAAGAAAGAGTTTGTGATGAATATTTTATAAGCATTCTTTCTACATTCTCATCTTGGGTATAATTTAAACAGAACAGCAAACTCTAAAATAATCTAATGAGGTGGCTTTATCTGTAGTTGTAGCCATAATAAAGAAATTCAACAAACGTTAAGTCCTCATTTACCAAGCTATTCAGAAGTAAATATCTTTTAGTCTACTTTTCAAGGAAAAAAGAAGGGTGAAGGTAACAATGACGGGAAACATATATATCATAGTAATTGCTGATTAAATGCTGAAAAGCTAAAAGAAACAATTATGTTGTTTAGTGTTATTGAGTTATCAAAGAGACCACATACCTTAAAGAATAATACTCTAATTCCATGTCATCATCACAATCTCTGCTGTTTCAGTTTACATCCTGGGGCTCTTACTCTTTTTTTTTTTTATCATTCCTCTCTTTTACCTGAAGCTAGGGTGCAATAGAGCATAGCTGTTCTGCTAATCAATAAGGTAGCCATTCCAATCTACTAGCTGTTTGTGGGAGAAGGTTGGGTGGTCTCCTCCCCATTAAGATTTATAGCCTCAGAAACCCAAGAGAGGGTCAGAATTGATTCTCAGTGGATTTATCCTGGCTTGGTCTATTCCATCAACCATGATGTCTTTCTCCAGGGACTCCTGATAAACATGACCAAAGTATGCACGACGAGGTCTCACCATCCTTGCTTTGTCCCTTCCCTGCCCCCATTAAACCCTGGAAAATCACTCCCTGGGAAATTTTTAAATAGCATACTGTTACCTCCCACTTCAATTAAAAAAGGATCAAGAGCAAATAAATCTGTACTTGCCTTTGACACACAAATATGCGTTAATATATGTATCTATGTGCTTATAACTTATTATCTGAGTTCACTTTTATAATGGTTTGAGATGTGCCCGCCAAAAATAGGTGCTGTTGTGTGAAATGCAATGTATGTGAATGATACACAATGTATATGAATTGTGTATGCAAACCAATACAAAAATAAAGTGTGTGGGGGGTGGGGTGGGGGGTGGGAATAACTGTTATAAATTGTAAACTCTACACCAAGAGTTATAATCCCATTTGGGATTGGGTCTTCTCTGTTAGTTAGCTGTGCTGGCATCTCTTTCAACTCTCCCGTTGCTGTTGGGTCAAGCAGGAACTCACAGCTTACTCTCTAATGCAGATTTTGGAGGCTGAAAATGACACTCAGGCAAGAGACCTGGTGGGCAAGCCACAGAGGCATCGCCTTTGGATTAGCACTACAATTCATCATCATGAACTACATTACTAGAACTCCCTTTACTACTAGAGAGAGGGTCTGCTTTAGATCAATCTGTGTAGAGATATGAGAGTGATTAGACAAGCAAGGGAGCAAACAGAGGTCAGTGTTAGAGAAATTCCCAGGCCATGTGAGGTAACAAGGACCTTTCTCCAGGGTTAACATTGAACTAGAAAGCCTTACCCGGGAGTCAGTAGCCTGAATTTGGGCTTCTAGCCTCCTGATCTCTGGGAAAATACATTTTTCTGTATCAAAGCCACTGATGTACGGCATTTCTGGTTGATCTATTTACCCAGTAGAATAAGCGTGGCAAACTAAGTGGCAAACTAAGGCCTCTCTTGTGGCTCAACCTTCGCTTTTGGTCCTAAAGCTATGAACGGTTTCCACAGATGAACACTTGAAATCAAATTGTGTTAACTTTGAACACAATTAAATTAAATGTTAACATGGAGGAGAGAGAGAGAATGAGAATACATTCTATTTTTTTCACCAGTAGAACTGCATCCCAAAATACTAGCCTGTTATCATATCTTGAAATTTGTCAATAAAAATTTTTGTAGACATTTTCCCCCTTCTTATCATTTAAATGCTTACACAAAATCCTTAATTTTACCTCTTGACCCAATCAGATAATTAGATAATAATAATAGTACAAATCAGATAATTAGTATTTTACATGTATATTACAAGCACAGTGGTTAAGTTCTGAGCTGCAAACTAAAAAAAAAAAAATCAATTGTTCAAGCCATGGAAGAAGGATGTAACAGCCTGCTTTCGTAAAGATTTATAGCCTCGGAAACCCTATGCAGCAACTCTGCTCCATCATATAGAGTCACTACGAGTCAAAATCAACCCAAAAGCAATGAGTTCTGTTTTTCCTTTGCATGCTCTTATAAAGACATTTCTGATCATTGCTAATTTCCCCCATAGAAATCTGTTGACAATTTCTGACAAAATTAAAATTACTGTTTCTTTAAAAAAAAACACCTTCTACCAGTTAAATGTCACATACTATACAAGAGACAAATTTGAGGTCTTACTGCCTTCTCTAAGGAGCTCTGGTGGTGCGATGTGACCCACTGCTAATCAAAAGATCAGCAGTTTGAATCTATCAGCTCCAGCGGGGAAAAAACCCAATGGAGGGTTGCTATGAATAGGAATTGAGTCAACACCAGTGGGTTGGGGTTTTTTTATTTTCCCTTGTTTTGTTTTTTTTTCTTTTGGCCCATTGAGGCATTTTACTTATTACATCCCTAGAAAAAGTATCCCAGGACTTTTCCTCCTGTGGGTTTTTGTCTTTCTTCCTGATGGTCCATGATACTTATGGGATGGGAGCAGATGATTCTGCTCATTTTCTAGATCTTTGAGCTGCACTTCAAGTCTGGGGCTGATAACACCACACTTGTTCAACTTGCTTTTGCGGCTGACAACGATCTTTGAAGCTCTGTGATCATCAATGATTTTATATTTGCCAATGCAGCCATGCTTTGTCACCACTATTAGGAACCGAACCATGACTTTATAAAGAGCATGACCCGATAAGAAACTGGTACTTGCCCCTCGGCATTGTTGATGCTCTTGAGAGCGTCAGCCAGCACACTATTGTCATGGCAAGGAATGATGGCGGAAAGAGTTTCCCTTGTATTATATAAAGTAAATGAATCTTCAACTCATCCTTTTCTCCCACTAAACCCAATAATTAGTATTGAGTAAGGAGAAGACTTCCTTAGAGAATAAGGACCGTGAGAGAGTCAAGTGTCTTTCTGAAAACTATAGCCAAATCCCTGGAACTTATCCCAGCCTCTGGTACATAGTAAGCACTCAATAAAATAGCATTTTAATTAATCTAACAACAAAGTGCCAAACACTATATTAAATAAATTCGTAAGTATATTTCCCTGAACACTCATAACAGTCCTATGAGGTAAGCATTCTTACCTAGCTTTTTCTTAGGTAACAGACACCGAAGGACCATGAAATTAGAATCCAAACTCAAGTTTCACAAATCCCAGGAAAGGTTTTAAATAACCGTACAATAATATTAGCAAAAACTTTGCCATAGTGCAAGATGTATTTATGATGACTGTTGATTTGAAAAATTGCATAAAAGCAGACTATTTTTGAAAACACAACGCTGCTTACCTATGATATTAAAATGCCACTAAAGTGGATCCCTTCTCTGTAGATAAACTGGGTGGAAACACTTTTCAGAGTAGTCTCAGGATCTACAAAACAGGAAAAAGTGTTCCATTAGACATGAAGTTGTTGTTGTGTACTTCAGAGTCAGAACCAACACCTAGCTGACCCTCCAGTAGGTTTTCAGAGACACTTAATTACCTATCCTGCTCCCGTGGAGAAACTAGTGGATTCGAACAGCATGCCTTAAGGATTGCAGTGCAGTTTCTTGCCACTAAGCTACCATTTAGATTAGCAGCCCAACTGCCAATAGACTACAGGAAAAAGAGCTCCCTCTTAAAAATAAAGTGCTTTAAAATGCAATACATAAAAATTACAATGAAAATTTAAAAATTTACAAAAAGATATAAAATGCATAACACAATGGGGAAATTTGGAAACAGAGAATAGTATAGTTGAACAACACGATGAACATTGTTTAAAGACCATGAAATTATACATGTGGTTGAAATGGCCAATGTGGTCACCTA